TCCCAAGTTGCAGTGCAGACGAGCGATGGATGTCTGCATCTGCTTGGTCATCGGAGGCACGTTCTCGAACCAGATGTCCGTGTCCAGTCCTGGGATCCTCGTGTGCGAGGTTGGAGCCTGTGGTTGTGCTTGCTCTGTCTGTTCTGCTGGTGCTTGGTCTGGTTCGGTGTTATCGAGTGGCGTACCATAGAAGAAAAGGGCCACCCGAATGGGCTCGCTGAAGCGCTGCTTGGGATAGGACACGCTGCTGAGGTCCTCGTGTTCAATGCCGATTTCCCCGGCGTGTGTTTTGTAGCAGCAGCCGCGATGAGTGTAAGGAAACTCCATCGGTAGCCGGCAGGCTGCTGGTGTCCATGTGGCTTGTACACGGCTGAGTTGCCATGGAATCAGGTTGGAGATGAGCTTCATGAGATCATCACTCTCATTGACGTAGAAAGGTCGTTTGTATGTGTTTGTGAATCTTCGTTCAATCTCCTCCAGCACCTGATTCCATCTCTCACGGTCATCACTGGGCTGATTGTAGTAGACCTTGGATGTCCGCTGTTGCTTGTTCTGCTTCTGCTTGTCATTGTTCCGGAAGTACTGCATATGGAATCGTTGTGGGTTCCGGAATCTTGCTTCTTCCCGGAGACCTGTGAGAATGGCATGTGCGAGTCCTGGGCCATATTGTCCGGAAGGCTTCGTGTCTTTGCCTTCAATCGTTTTTGTATATTGTTTCTGCTCATCTGTCATCTTGTGGGACAGGTGCTTGGCAAGGATCTCGCTGTTGGTGATCCATCTGTGTGGCTTTTGGATGGGCCATCCGTCTTGTGTCTCAGCCCCGTATGCGCCTGCATCGCATACTGCTTCATAGTTGTCTGGGTGATCTCGGAGGTTGCGGATGTCCGGTTCATTCCAAAGTGCTGAACGGAGAGGGTTCTCTCCGAGGTAGAGACGGCCACTGTCTCTTTGTTTGGCACATAGTTCAGCGCCCAGCTCAACCAGAGGTCTGTCAGCGTCTCGGAGAGCTTGAAGTGCTTCTGGCCTGGTGCTGTAGTTCATGTTCTGGTTGAAGATGGACCATTGGGTACATGACCATTCCACCATAAGGAGAAGTGGTTCGAATCGGTCCACGCCTTCGAAGAGTGCTTGTTGGCTCTTCTTGTCATGGAGGTCCCAGCCATAGATCAGGTCGATCGGCTGGAGTGAGCTGAGGCCGTAGGCCGGACACATTTCTGAGACCAAGGCACGTCCTGCATAGACTTCTAGGAGGTCTATCTTGGGCCCTTTCTTGTACTCAACGTGGCTTGGCAGGCTCTCATAGATGTCAACTTCCTTCTGCAGGATCTTGTGGACCTGTCTCAGGTGTCCTGTAAGCCAGGTCTTGTTGCCGGGCTTCAAGGAGACACCACTTCCTCGCCCAGTTCAGGCTGTCGTCCGAGTGGATCTGGCGCACTTCCGGCTCCCTCGCCGGTGAGCTGTGTCGCTTCTTGACCCTGGTCGGTGAAGGCGAAGTCTTTGGTCGGGCCGATGCTGAGCTCTGCGATGACTGGATAGCGGCTTGAGTAGACTTCGGAGGTGCCACAATGCCCATGCGGAGAGCTGGGGTAAACATCTTGTCGTGGAAGCTGGTGGCAATTGAAGGCGATGGCAAAGGCAGCGGCGCCTGCGGCTTTCTTGAGGGTGGATCGACCCAGGTTTGGGTGCTTTCGTTCCACACCCACTTCTTCTGGCAATCGGTGCACTTGCTGTAGCGGCCGTGTCTGTTGCCATACCTCTGGATGCGCTCGTGTTGGCATGGTGCAAAGGCTCGATCGAGCAGCCTTGTCGATTCCTCCATGTAGAGGGAGTCCTGGAAGGAGAGCCAACTTCGAGGTCGAATTCGTAGGCGGATGGCTTGGGTCAGCACAAGAGCCAACATCTTTTCCGCCTGGAACAGGGTGATAACCATCCTTCGCCATGCTTGGAGCCACAGTGGTGGAGCGCGAGGCATTTCGAGTGAACGATGATGCCTTGATCTCAGTCTGCGCTAAGGGCGAAACAAATTCTGCATCGCACATGCCGTCATCAATCATCTTTGACAACTGCTTCCACTGTGGTGCATGGTTGACTGCATCAAAAAAAGGATGAAACATCCAAAGCTAAATGACCATTGATGACCAAAATCGGTACTGCACATCCAAAGCAACCGAGAAAGGCTTCACGTTTGGGCAAATCAAGTACAGCTTGCAGTTTCTCTGACAACAAAACATTGCTTCCGAGGAGAGGGATGTCATTGGTATTCTCTAACACGGAGGCCCCAAGCAAACAACACGTGTTGGAGTTGTGGTTGAAGCAGTTCGGGAGGTACACATGCTTGCAGCTGTACTGTGTGGGACCGTGGCCAAATTCAAAAGGTTCGCGTTGAGGGGATGACAAAGCTTTCAACCGATGATGTGAAACGGAACTTTCCCACAAAGACAACCATGTTGAAGAACAGCAAGTTCGCTGACAGGCAGTATCCAAAATCAAATGGTGGCTGAAGCTACCAAGCTGGGAACCGAAGACCTGGTGCAAACTGAAACTCGGAGGGTGCAAAGCGGCAGTGTTGACCATATAGGTGAAGTAGGTGCCATAACCTTCAGTCTTGACGTCATCCCCAAAAGACACTTGCCGTTTTGAACCATCTGAATGCTGAACTGTCATCACCTTTTTGGCTGAGGCCTTGTCCGATTTGTTGGAGCCCTTGCCGCCACCTTTGGTGGATGACTCTGGCTTGGATCCGGTGAGAGGACATTCGGGATCATTCTGCCAATGTCCTTTGGCTCCACAGACAATGCAATGGCTCTCTGCCTTGCGTTGCTGGACGCTCTTGCTTCCAGAAAATTTCCGGCCTAATCGAAGGCCGGACAGCCGCCTTGCAGTCACTGTCAAACAATGGGCGGCAAGGTCAAAATCATCCTGAGGGTCATCGTCCTCAGGATCTGCAAATTCATCTGGTGGCTCTTCTTCGTATGCATCTTCGGCCGCAGGCTCAGCCTCTCCATCCGACAGTTCTGAGTCCAAAGCCGGCTCAGGGTCGTCCGCTTCGGGCTCAAGCTGCTCGGGCACTTCAGTCACATAGACGGAGCGGGTCCAAGATGGCGGATTGCTCTTTCCGCCTTTGGAGTCTTTGCCCTTTCCTTTGCCTTTGTAGCCACCTTTGGAGGGCTTCACGAAGTGGTTGGAGGTCGAGTTGTGAGGCCTTGACTCTTTGTACTCCTGCTTGTCGTCCTTCACGTCAAAGTCTCTCGTGAAGACGACTGCTGGAGTGGCCGGAAACTGAAGCTCAGTACCTCAGTGACTGACCAGTGGCAACCAGAATGAGTCGTTGAGACTCCACCCCAAGGCGCATCCTGTCTAACAAGCGGGATCCGGCAGCTTCTTCATCGTACATGCTGCCCACTTGGATGCCCACGCTCTGTAGAGCTCTTTCGGCTCTGTGGTAGCGGTTGCAAAAGGCCTTGATGCTCTCGCCATTCTTCCTGCCGAGGCGTTCGAACTCGTCCAGGAATTTCCGTTTCAAATAGATGCCTTTAGACATCAGAGGCGTCTGCAGGGTGTTGACTATGTATACTGGATGCCGTCCTCATGGTCGACTTTGTTAATGTCGCACCATTCCAGTTCTTCCTCTGCTTCGCCTCGCAGTGAAACAAATAGTCTCATGGCCGCCTCATTTGGTGGGAGGTAGGCGGAGATCTGCCTCTTCCACACTTCCAGCTTCTTGCTCCAGCGCTGGAATGCTTGTAGGTCGCTGCGACCATAGTTCCATTGAGGCGGATCTGGAGGAGTACCGCCTCGGTACTTGATGCCCGGAGCTGGGCCTGCTCTAATTGACCAAGGCTTCTCGGGCTTCTCCGATTGCTGCGCAAGCTCTTTCAGCATGTCATCTCGCCACTGTGAGTGTTTGCCACTCGCAGCAACGCTCGGCGCCTTTGGAGCCTGGGGCAAGGTCGGGCCCGGCTCTGGCGCACGTGCTTGAACTCCGCATTCTCGATGTTCCGGAATTTGCCATAGAGGATTAGGATCATGTAGACCTGGTACTTGGGGGGTGCTATCTGGAGCGTGTGCAGGTACTTTGGAGCGTCGATGAGCTTTGAAAGCACTGCTACTGGCATTGGAGCGTCGTGGTTCATCCCGACGTAGATTCTTCCTCTGCTTTCGGCTCAAGCGAGGAAGCGAGGGGTCCAGACGAGGGTCCGTTGTGGCAGTCTCTGATTCAACATACTCGTGGGCTTCATCAAAGGGACCTGGATCGTCATGCTTGGTTTTTCTCTGCGGGCCGGCTGAGGAAGGTGGTCGTGTTGTCACCGGCGGTGGTGAGCGAGCTGCAGGCGGCTCCTGTCCATGTGGCACGTAGTGCCAGGAGCCATGACTAGTAGAAGTCATGGTGGGGACATTCGCATCGTAGAACTCGCGGCTGCCGCATGCAAAGCACATATATCCGCCGAACTGGGCTCTCCACTGCACTCCGTCGCATCGACGGCACCTCCAAAAAGGGACATGTTCATGTGGCTTCGGCTCAACCAAGCCAGGCATGGTGTCCGTCGAGTTGGAGTCCAAGGTGTCCTGACGGTGTGGAGTGGAGCTCATCAAGTCGTCACCATTCCAATCATACGACTCGGAATGTTCTAAGGGGACATCATCCCATGAGTAGAAGGGCTCATCCTCGTCCCAGTCGGCATCGTCCGGGGGGTGCGAGCCGCGCGAGCCAGAAGGCTCCGCACTACCAACTGATAATGATGCTTGCGAATGCATCTATCAAAGCGAAACACGAACAGTCCATGGCGCCATCTTTTCAAGGACTAGCAAATTGGCTCATTCGGCCGTCTTGAGGTCGGCGTTCGGTGAAAGAAAGCTCAAAAGGGGCACAGCTGTTAACAGTCAAATGGCAAACTTCTCACACTAGGAACAAAACGCTACTAGGGGCTCCTGGCATCGCTACGAACGGAGCAAGGACGCTACTACCACATTCTTTGTGTCGACCAATTCATCCACCCGACCTCAAAGACCTTGGTGATGAAAACTCCATCCCTTAGCAGCGGTCATCGTCTGAAGAACAGCTCCACAAAGGTGGTCGGATCTATTCCCTTCAAAAGGAATCTCAAAACATTCATGCCAGGAAAATGACAGAAAAACAATTCTCAGATGAACTTGGAATCCGATTAGAAGTGTACACGCCACATCAGTTTCTTGGCCAAATCTCAGGGTGATGCCCAGTCCAGGATCGGTAGGTGACGTCTACTCCAAGGTTCGCTGACGTTGCTCTGCTGATGACCTGAGGAACCATATGGCTGGTCGCTGGTCCCATCTTTTTGTGACCTCAAATAGTGTCCGAAATACAAAAGACAAACCACATTGTTGTGGAAGAATAGCGGATTGTCCCAGATCTTTTTTGCAAATACACTACATGAAACACTGCTAGGTGAATACACAAACTCCGGTGCTGGCCATGATCGTCACTCCCACATCCAAGCGGAGCTTGTCAGGGCAACTCACCAGGGGTTCTGGCAGCAGTGAAGCATTGCCCTTCATCTGATGCCATGGCCTGGCCCAAGAAAAGGAAAAGCTGATCAAAGGAAGTGCAACTGCTTATGGGGTGCACTGACATGTTTCAGAAAAGTTTTTCACTTACAGTAACACGTGGTGAGAATGCCTGGCGGCATCCTTTACTACAACTCATGAAACTGCACGAACAACAAAACAAACAGCAGATCTGATGTCCAAGTTAAGCATGCCAGAAGGACATCATCGACAATTCTTGCAATGCCAAAACTATCTTCAGACCCAACCTTGGCCTAAAGTCTGTGCAATATTGTTGCTGATATGATGTCTGATGGTTTAGCACGTTTGTTCACTCCAAACTGTCGGATATCAAAAACATTCCTTTTGAAAAAGGCATCAGTTTGCATACGGATGGCAGGCATGTTTAAGAGTATATCACGTGCCGATCAAGTGATAAAGCCGCTCAAACTTGAACCAATGGCGGCTTCATTTGCCCAAAAAGATTGATTGGCACGTCCAGACTCGTTGGGAACAAACGGTTGTCTCAAAGACTGGTAACCTCTCAATTTTGGTTGGTCCCACAAACAAATGGCTGACTTGGTGCCTGCCTATGTTCACGACATGATTGCTTGCCACACAACCAATGACAAACCCGCAATGGAACATGTGTTGAGCTCAACACTGCACACTCACCAAACAAACCGTGAAAGAGTGCCAAATTCCAAGTTTGCTGAACAACACGTCCTCAGAGTCTTGACTTGTATTCTGGATGGAACAAAGGGGCAGCAAGTCCAAAGTGCTGAAATGTGGGCCTTGACCTCCTTCAAAAAAGTGACCTTGATCAATCTTGGCCTGCGCAATGGCAGTGCCTGTGAAAATGTTGGCCCTGAGTTTTGTCGGGCATACTGCCTTTAAGAAGAGCAAAATTGTTGTTTTCAAGAGGTACAAATTGTCCAGGTCCCCTCAGACATCAACTCACATGATGGAGGGACCCAAAGGCTCAACACAAAAACTGCGAAATTTGTGCCGCGTTTCCTGAAAACTGCATTGCGCGCATGTGCTCAACAAGCAAAGAAAAAGGCGTGCTGCAAGAGCGCGGGGTGTTCACGTGTTTCAATTGCGCCACAGGTGGCCGACAACACTGCAACCAAACCTCGAACACCACGGACAGCCCAAAACGTTTTGGTGCACAGCCACAGCCATCAAAAAAAGAACGGCCAACCTCAAATCTTGCGCCCAAGTATCGGGTGTCACGCGACCAGAGGCAGGGGCAAGTGGAATCACCGGTGACGATCTCGCTCCATGTCCAAGAACGCACTGTGGCAAACTGTGACAAAAACACAACGAACGTCACTTGTCCTCTGTGAAGAACCTGCAAAGCAAGACTTGCAACAGCACAGCAAACGCATCGCACTCTTTTCTTGCGATAAGACACTCCTGCACAAGCTACTTCACGCAAGAGGCCGAAGATCAAGCTCAAAGCACTTGAACATGCACAAGCCTGTTCAAGAACATTGCAAACTGAAACACACTTCTACAAGCTGCACAATCCTCTCCAAATTCTCTTGAGAGCGCAACTTGGCACCTCCACAATGCGTGCAGGAAGGAGAACAAAAGTCGTCAATCTGACTTGGCATTCGGCCACAGTGTGAACCTTGAACACGTCTATCTGTGAAAAAACACGCGGCAGCTTCCCTTTCATCCAGCTCACCCGAAGCCAAGTTGCAGTCATGTCAGACTAACCTCTGGACATTCTCCAGCCACGTCTGGCCAAACCAAACCCTCAGAGGAAACACTGCCAAGTTGGTCAAGCCAAAAGCACAAACAAAACCCACACTGTCTTTCACATCCCTACTAAGATGTCATCAACAAACCTGAAAAACCTACTACCTTAAGTAAGTAGATTACAACCGTCCTAATCACAAAACGAAAGCACGTGCAACAGCTCACAAGCAACGCGAAAGCACTCACACCTTTTACGCGCACTCTCTGGGTCTTGAGCCAAAGTTAAGTACAAAAGGCTATGAGGCATTCCTGCACACAAGCTATTCCCATGCGAGACACTGAAAGTGTCGAGCTTAAACGCACTCAAACATGCACAAAACTGTTCAAGAAACATTCACACTACAAAGCTACAAAAACTTCTGTTACAAAAACATTCCATGAGCTATGCTCTCCAAAGCTCTCAAAACACTTCGAAACACAAAGTTCCGACAAGGAACGCTTGCTCAAACATTGGAAATGCAAAACCTCACACCTAAGGCTTCATTGCCACTCTCTACCACCCGCCTGTTGGGAACGAGGAGCTAAGGCTCTCATTCCTATTGGCTCACTGTATCGTGAATGTCGAAAACAAGTTGGCGACTCTACTCAATGTTTGCACATTTCACTTGACGTGGCTTCCTGGCGGAGTGCTTATGCACCATTCCCGCCACGAAAGCATTGCTGGCCTTTGGTGCAGGTTCTAGAAATCATTGGCAATCGGCCGGCAAAAAATCGGAGCCATTTGGGCTGATCGAGTTGCTCACATTTGTCAAAGGCATTGGGTCGGATATATGTCCCTCGCCATGTTTCACTTTTTCCTTGCTTGCGTATTGCTCGAAGTTGCGTGCAACCTGCAAAAGCGCGTCGCGCAATGTAAAGCAGGGATGGTGGAGTGGAAACCTCCTGAGAGAGGTACATTTGAGGAAGGCTTCTTGCTTAATGATCCTCAAGTTGCGGGAAAGGCAGAGTTGTTGCAACTGCGAACAGTGTGCGAAAGCGGAGCCCAAAATCTCAAGCACGTCTGCTTGGGACAGATCAACAGTTTGCAGCTGTTGACAGCTCGCACAGGCGGCGGAGCCCATCCTGTTGAAGTCTGTCGGCAAGGCAAGTGCGACAATGCCAGAGAGCAGTCCGGCAAGCATCGGTTTGTGTGCGCTGCATCCGGCTCTGGCATGCCTAAATTGATGTGACTCAGAGCTGTGCATGCTTGAAAAGCTCGAGACCTCACTTGGGCTTGGGAGGCTTGCCGATTGCTGGGCGTTGAGCCGTATCCACCCTCGTTGAGGAGCGACACTCTTCGAATACTTTAGTCCGAAATGCTTGCAACCGGGGGCAACCACTCGTGGAGTTTGGCGGCGCCATGTGATAGCTGACGACTGTCTGGCAAGTGGACGATTTGCACTGTTGACAGCTTCCCACGCAGCCTCTCCGACAATCTTGACACCGCTCTCAACGACGTGACGGATTTCTGTGCAAAAGGAAAAGACTTGTGGGGAAATTTTGTCATTTCCACCACGCGGCACCCGGATTGCCTTGACTTCCCCTTTTAGCTTTGCCCCTCTACCATGCGTTGCCGAGCGATTACATAACACTTGTGGTTGGTACTTAGTGCGTACTGAGTTGGGTCCACAAGGATCTGTAGGGTGTTCGTTTGCACAAATTGCAGTTCCCCATCCACCTCCAACCTTGTGAGACAGAATCGATTCCATGTAATTGTCAGACCGAAGGACACTCAGTTTGGCAGTTCCAAGACAGTGATGGGGAAGGCTATCCCAAGGCGGTCCGAGTTCCACTTAATGCTCGAAAGGAGGTGCCGGTCTGACCGGGCCTTCTACTCTGCGCCAAAGCTTCGACATGTGGAAGTAGCACAAGGAATCACCCAAATTGGATCGGCAGCATGGCAAAGCTGTGATCAACTGCAGATTGTTAGACTGCCGCTTTCCGTAGTCTGTCTCCAAGATGGAGCCTTTCAGAGGTGCTATGCGCTCAGTCAGATCACCGCTCCAGGGTGTGTCCAATTTGGTCGGAGAGTATTTGCAGAATGTTGTTCGCTCAGTAGGATAGGTCTGGCAAGGAAGCCATCAATACACTGGCTCCAGGGGCGCAAATCGCGCCATTCGCCTTCGAGAGCTGCCTGGCACTCACGTCAGTTGACTTCGTAATGGCCAATATTACGACCATCACCTTTGATATGGATCGTACTAATAAACCACGAGCTCTGCCTGAAGGCACATTCTGTGGAGCAGGCATTGAACAGCTGTGCTTGCCGATTGATTTCCACAACATCGGGCCGAGGGCCTGTGAAAATTGCAAATGTCTTGTGGAGGTCAACCTCATGAGCACAGAGGTCACAGCCCTACTCTCTTCCACTTTTGCCCACTGTATAGCATTGCAGTGCATATGGCTTCCACCGCGACTCACGCAAATTGGAAAAGAAGTCTTCCTAAATTGTGTTGTGCTGCAAGAAGTTGTCATCCCGACAGAACTCAGTGACATAGGCAACCGTGCCTTCTGCGGGTGCGAACAGCTGCAACGGTTTACCCTCCTAGATTGGGGTGACATTGAACAGTGGGTGCAGGCAGAGCACAATGCCTTCTTTATGCGCGACAAATTTGAAAAACCCCATTGGCTGGAGCTGCTCCCCGCGGAAGGACCAGATTCAGATGCGTTTGACGAGGAGCTATACCACGAGTACTCCTAACATCATGCCAGCCCATGAGAGGCTCAAGGTGGGTGCCTTAGCATCTGTCTTCAGGAAACATCCCTGGCCTTAGGAGTAGCCCATGAGCAGACTCGGCACCTGTGGCTCAAACAATGGTTGCCAATAGCCTGCCGCATATGGAGCTTGACAATTCATCCATGAGTAGCACTCCCCCGAAAAGGAGCCAGTCATGGAATGCTCCCTACTGCTGACCACGCTGTCGGGGGTGACCTTTAAGGTCTCTCACTGTTGCCAAGTTTGACCGTTTTGACGATCTAGAAGACCAGGTCATGGACTATCTGGCTTCGGTCACTGACCTCAAGGTATTTGGGTGCGTCATTGACTTTCTGCAAACCACCACGCAAACATACCTGGAGGACCCAATCTGGGATAAGTTGCAGCAAGGCATGGAATACACCATTGTCTTCAGGAACTGTAGTGTTATCCTGCCAGCACAAGAACAGCTCGGAGGTTATTCTATTGATCAAGTTCCGTCAGCCGTTCATGTCCCTATGAACCCAGAAGAAACCGTCCCAGAATGGGCCTTTGCAGGGGTTCCACGCCTGCGACATGTCAACGTCGAGTCAGGTATCAGGCTCATTGGTGCAGAGGCTTGGCAAGATTGCCGACAACTCCGCATTGTCAAACTGCCGGCAACGGTTGTAGGCATCGCAGACAATGCCTTTCGGGACTGCAAGCTACTAAACAGTGTCTAAGCCCCGGGTTGTCGCGACTTTGGTTGCAAAGCCTTTGCGGAATGCTGTTCCTTGCAATGGGTGCATGCATCGGATGGGGCTGCAAACGTGTTCAATGACCTTGGTAACACCATGATCAAAGA